AACAATGCGACTCAGTCGCTATACAACCAAAAAGGTGAGTTCAAACAAATGGTATATACAAAGAGGGAACATAAATACCTGTTAGGTCGAGCAAGGGATTCTGTTCACTTAACAGCAAGGGATTCTGTTCACTTAACGTGAACAGCCAAGATAAATTCAAACAGATCGACAATGGTCTGTGTGATAGCATTTAGGGCAGCTCTTTGCTTTGGAACATATGTCGGCATCCATGTTTGGCCACCACCAAGTTAATTGAGCCAGTGGCTTCATCTTTTCTATCCCAAGATGGCCGGAATGTAGTTCATCAATTACAGCTTTACACAACGTCGGTGGAATCACAACTCTGCCATTCAAGTACAGTAATCCTTCAGGCGTAATTGAAAGTTCACCACGTCTAGTGATGTGGAAATCTCTTCCGGGTCTGGGCGTTCCAACCCTTCCGCAAGGCAGTCATCACAGCAGAGAAATAACGACGTGTGTCACGAATAAGTTCTTGGCGGCTCACAGGGAGAGGTTGTACTAGTAATGAATCAGAAATGTCCTCTGGTTCCGGAGCGGGTAGCGATTGACGCAAAGTGTAATCCACGTGTCGGATGTATTTGCCACTGCACTGTTCAATTGTGTAATCATATGCACTGAGTGCGATACTCCAGCACTGAACCATAGCTGCAGAGCTTCTGAAAAGGGATTTCCCAGGATAAAAAATGAATTTCAAGGCCTCATGATCGGTAACGATGGTGAAATGATGGCCGAAAAGGAACTTGTGGAGGCGCTTGACTGTCCCAGTATACCGCTAAGGCTTCGTGATGAGTTTGAGCATAGCCTCGTTCAGCTGCTTTTAACCGGCGAGACCCAAATAATTGGAAGCCCATTTTGTTCAAGAATCACACCAATTCCATCGAGTGAGGCATCAGTAATAACAGTGGAATGAATTTTGGGATTGAATGGGTGAAGTATCGAATCAGTCTGCAGAAAATTTAGCAATTCACGTAAGCAACGTTCATGAACATCGGTCCAAACCAATTTGTCAGAAGAAGAGATAGGAAATAAGACTGAAGCTTTCTGACTGAAATTAAGGGTAAATCGAGAGTCATACTGTGGGGCTCCAATCAATGATCTGAGTTCGTGTATGTTAGACGGTGATTTGGCTTTTGTTAGAGGAAATAGACGGCTCGGGTCAGGTTTGTACCCTTTACCATTAACTAAGTATCCAAGACATTCAAAATGAGAGACAAAATAAATACTTCTTAGGATTAACAGCAAGATTCTTATCAGAAAATCTACGAAAGAGTTTAAGCAATCGTGCGTCATGAGTGGACTTGTCAGGAGCATGAACAATAATGTCATCTTGATATACTTCAACACTAGACACACCACTAATAATATCGTTCATAACTTGTTGAAATGTGGTAGAAGAAACGGATGAACCGAATGGCCGAAACTTGTATCTGTAAAAAGGGGGGTATTAATAGTTGTTAAAGTGGATTATGTTTCATCCAACAGAATTTGTAAATATGCATCTTTTAAGTCATTCTTGGATAAAATCTTAGAACTAGTCAACTTATTCAGGATGTCCTCTGGTTCAACCGCTGTACATGTCCTCTTTAACAGCCTTGGTTTTAAGGTGATTCGGTAGTCACCACATATGCTCGAGGTCTTGCCATCCGATTGAGTGGTGCGACAATTGGTGTACCCCATGCAGAAGACGACCCTTTCTCTATAACATCTTTGGAACACAAGTTGTTCAATGCATTCATGACAGGTTCGCGAAGGCCATATGGAATGACTCGGCGTTTGAGAAATACTGAATCGCCATTAACTGGTAGTCTCACTGGGGAAATTGTCATGTCACCACTGGCCGTTGAAAATGTAATAATCAAATCGTTCAATTCATTTTGAGTATCGATAGAGGTTAGCAAAAAAAGATTGACATTTAATGCTTGCATGGCCTTCAAGCCTAGTATGGATGGGCCAGATTTGATTACAATGAATGTACAGGTAACAGTTTTAGAATGTTCATCACTGACTGAAATCTCACAAGAACCAACAACAGGCAGTGAGTGTCCAGTGATGCAATTAATGGTGATAGTGGACGACTGAAGTTTAGCATCTGGAGTAAACAGTTTTAGATCGTGAAAAGAAATCAGAGATTCCACACTACCAGTGTCCAAAATGAAATGAAGCGAATTACCAGTGGAACTGAATAGTCGTTTACTGATGTGACCGGAATGGGAGGTAATAGCCAAAGATAAAGAAGAAAAATGTTTGGCCATATTACTAACTTCTGAGTCCCGGGCTTGAATTAAACGACAGGTTTTGGTATTGCGACAAACAGACTGAATATGGCCAGTTTTTTCACACTTATGACATAAAACGTAACGAAATCGACATGTGAATCTGGAATGACGTTTGCCACAGGATGCAAAATTGCCATAGGATTTATCCGAATATGTCACATTGTGTGAGTTAGATTGTGTAACTAGTTTGAAACGTCCGGCTGTAGCATGAGCTTCCGTGGATTTAGTCTTTAGTGAATTGAACATGGCTTTAGATTCAATGGTGGACGGCATGGATAAAGTAGCGGCGCGAATGTCCTGATATTGTTCACAATGAGGCCGCACACCTTTGAACGTCGGATTGGGTAGCTTCAGAAGTTCATTTTGCAAAACGGTATTGTTAATGCCAGCGATCAGCCGATCTTTCAATTGCATGTCCAGTAAATCTCCAAAATCACACTTTGCAGCTTGAGTGAGCAAATCCAGGATGAATCATGGATGCCCTGATTCGGATTGAATTAAATTTTGCTCGTTCTGAGGCTTCGAAGTTCGTTGGCTTCACATGCTGTAGAAGGAGGGATTTTAAATCATCGTACGGTACAGAAACAGATGGAGAAGGATAAGCCAAGTTTTTGATGAATGTGTAAGCATTTTTACCCGCAGGATTCAAAAATAAGGCGGATTTCTTTTCTTCATCGGGCTTTGAACGGGTTAGCCACCAAATCTCAAAACATTCAAAATAATCCTCGACATCGCGTGCACTGCAGTTAAGATTAAGAGATTCTAGTGGAGTAGAATTCATTGTTCAGTAGACCGGCCGCGACGCCAAATGTAGTATTTGGAATAGTATTCAAAATGGGATTCCAGAATTCGCGCAGTACCAATCTCCGAAATAGAACAACCTCCAATGGAATAGCACACGAACTTTATTCGAATCGTATACTATGCATATTCAATGCATTTAAAGTGTACAAGGAATTTCGAGATCGGTGTCACATCACAGTTAGCCAGGTCGGCAAAGGCAAATCCAAAGAGATTCTATGCCTACGTACAATCTAAAAAAGAACGAGGGAAACTGTGGCTGCGCTAGAAGGTCTGGATGGCCGGGAAAAGGCAGGACACTCCTGGAAGTGTACAAAGGAATAGATCGCCTACCACTCGAGACCCAAAATGACCTGGACTGGCAGAGAAACTTCAGCTCATCGAGTTTATTTGAGCTGTGGGTGAAAGAAAAAAGTGTCATGGAAGAGCGACATGCCTTGTGTAAATACAAAGCTGCTAAGCCATATGGAATCCATCCGGGCGTAGTTCAACCACTGGTCGAAGTCTTTTAATCTCATATTGAATTTTTGAAAATCCTTCCAAACCCATAATGATTTAAGGTGAAATAACTCTATTTGCGTGTTCCTCCTCTATTGATACTTCTCAATCACAAACATCATACATTAT